GAGGGAGAGAATCCAAAAGCAGGCTCCAGGCTGTCAGAGGAAAGCCCGACATGGGGCTCAGTCTCAATGGAACCGTAAGATCATGGTCTGAGCCGAAATCAAGAGTTGGACGCTCAACCGACTGAGCCACCCAGGCGCCCCAAGGAATTTATGATTTTAAATTTTGGTCAAGAAACAAGGGCAGGAAAATGATGGAAATGTTTCAGGTTAAACTCAGTGCTGTGGAAGAGAATATTTTTAAAATTTAGATTGGATGTTGAAGTAAAATGAGATGGTAAGAGTATAAAACCAAAGGATTAGAAAATAGTGTTCAGTCTCTGTAATCAGCATCGACATTTCCAGTAAGGTTAACATAAAAACTGAGGGGCTCAACCAATATTAGCAAATTACATTGTTTTATTTGTGGTATGATAAGAATTCAAACATTGAAAGGTAAAAATCCTTCTATGTTTTAAGTAACATGAGTGAATCCTAGTAAAAGTTTATATGCTGTAGGTTCAGTAACACAGAGGTATTCATACAGAGAACATTTATTCGAGGCTGCTGCTTTACTTAGCACTGGAGGGTGCAAAGAAGAATAAGAACTCTATCTAGTCCCTTTCTTCTAGGAGTGTAGAAGTTAGAGAAACAGAAAAAATACAATGTTCAAGATTTCTGTGATAGAAGTCTATATGGGGTACACTGTTAACATAGAAAAAAAGTAGTTCAAGGAAGGGTGTCGCGAGAAAGCAGTGGTTTAAGGAGGTAACTGCTAAGTCTTGCTGTGTATATGATACATTAATAACACTTGAAGGTAAGTAGTTGGTGCCATTTATTATCTTTGCCGAACCTTTTCCCAACAAGTTAATAATCCTGATTTAATGATGGGTATCACTTTGTTAGGACAAATAAGTACATTAAGTGGGCTGAATGTTTTGTTTTAGTTCCGTTAATAAAGTACAAGTTGCTGCTATAACTAAAAGTACTGTTTGGACATTGTATACAGCTACTTCCTTGAGTACAAATAGTTTAAGCTAGAGATTACAAATTTGGCTTCAAGAGACACTTGTCAAGGTTCACAATCTGTATGGTAATAAAAGCTCTAGGGAAAATGGGGACAAATAAAAAATAGAATCCTGACACATACTACTGAGAAGAGCAAGAACATATGGGTAGAAAGGTAATAGTCTTTGGATATTGAAAACATTTTCAGATGCTTCTAAGTATCTTATAGACACTTAGACATATTTGATAATTTGAAAGTTAAAACACAGAAGGGATTAAAAGTGATGCCATAAAGTTACAAGACAGTTTTTTAAAATTAAGATGTATTGGGGCGCCTGGGTGGCGCAGTCGGTTAAGCGTCCGACTTCAGCCAGGTCACGATCTCGCGGTCCGTGAGTTCGAGCCCCGCATCGGGCTCTGGGCTGATGGCTCGGAGCCTGGAGCCTGTTTCCGATTCTGTGTCTCCCTCTCTCTCTGCCCCTCCCCCATTCATGCTCTGTCTCTCTCTGTCCCAAAAATAAAATAAACGTTGAAAAAAAAAATTAAAAAAAAAAAATTAAAATGTATTTACATAACAAACGTAAATAAAAAGATTGTTATGTGCAAAGAATTCTTAAAATCGACAAGACTAGGACAAGCCAAAAAAATAATGGACAGAGTATAGATTGATAGTTCATAAGATAGTAAATGAGAAGACTTTTAAACCAAGTGTTAGGGAAGTAGAAGTGAGGTCAATACCTGCCATTGACAGAATTTAGAAAGAATTAAAATTTGCCAGTGGGAAGAAGAATATTCTTAAGTACTGCTGGGAAATGAATTGTTAGAGCCTGTGTTGAAAGACATTCTGATGCCACCTATCAAAATGATAGCTGCTTCAACCGACTCTCCCTACAATTAATTGTATGGGGTTTATAGTCCATAGGAATAAAAGCACCAGTAGATAAGAATTGATTGATTGGTTTAAATCAATTGGTTTAATCAATTGGTTTGAGAGAGAGAATGAGCAGAGGAGGGGCAGGGAGAGACGGGGACAGAGGGTCCAAAGCAGGCTCTGCATGCTTGACAGCAGTGACCCCGATGCAGGGCTCCTACTCAAAAACCATGAGATCATGACCTGAGCCGAAGTCAGGTGCTTAACTGACGGAGGCACCCAGATGCCCAGATAAGGATATATTTAAATATATTAATAGCATTATTGTTTACAGTGGGAAGATACTGGGAACAATGGAAATAATTTAAGTTGGGATGATCGGGGAGAACCTAATGCCAAAGACCTATACCATTCAACTTGGCAGAATGTCCAAGCAATTAAGAAGAGGTTGTTGGAATGACAGGCTTCCTATTCAGTTTTTGAATGTGATTTGAATGTTATTACTGAAGTGTGGAGAAAAAACATGGGAGAGTTCAAAAAGCATCCAAGAAGTAAAACCCAGCATGTATATGTCCCCATGTGTTATGTTTATGTTGTATATGCTACTGACTTATGGGAATGTTTGGGTTGTTTAGTTAAAAACAAGCCAACAAGAATAAAATGAACAGGATGCTTCCATTCCAATTTAAAACAGTAGCAACTTCTATCTTTCAGTTGGTCAACACCTTCTGTTCCCAATTATATGTGTGTCTTGAGTTCGTGAATGTATGTAAGAGCACAGAAATGGATAATGCCAGGCTATTCTAACACAGGTTACCTCAGGTGGCATAGAATTGGGGTGGAAAGTTGATGATTTAGCTTTTCCTAACTGAAACAATTCTAAACTTACTATTTTATAATTTAAAAATTGCAAACATCAGTTCTTTCTGTCAGGTTAGATGATTGTCATATTTATAATCATTAATACTAGAACATGCCAAAGAATGGGGCGGGTTTATGCTTAGATATTCATCAGTCTAGAGATAAATGGGGAGCCTAGTTACCCTTTACATTTAATTTTGTCTAGCACTGTTTTTGTGAATTTAATACCTGGGATCTTGAAAAATAATTGAGATACTGAAATAATTGAGAAATAATGTGTTGCTTTCTTTTTTCACAATTCAAATCACATGATTATCTCTCCCCCCCCTCCTTTTTTCCAGATGATCAGTAGAATTGAATATGTGCATACAAAGAATTTTATACACAGAGACATTAAACCAGATAACTTCCTAATGGGTATTGGGCGTCACTGTAATAAGGTTAGTCAAATGTTCTCTGCATGAAAGAGCAAAGAGTAAAAACTCCAAGAATTGCTTTGGTAAACTTTGAATCTTTAAAAAGTCATAGGAAATTGTATTTGCTGTTGATGATTGCTTTAAAAGATTGTGCTAAAGGATAATCAGCTAACTCTTATTAACTTAGTAACTTGAAATAAATTTTCTTCCAACTTACCCAACCCAGGTTAATTATCTGTATGGAAATATAAAATTCCCAAGGGCTTTCTAATGAAATGTAATCATCTGTTATTTAACTATTCAAAAGTTGTATCTATTTTTCATTCGTTGAAATAGTAAAAAAACCCCATATACATTTTTTCCTGAATGCTAAAATCAGATTTTAACCTTTGTCACTGAAGCGTGGGTTTTTGCAATATATGTGCTTGTGCCAGCGTGGGGACCACTGACCCATCTGTCACCATGGCGTTAACATTTGCTGACTGAGCATGATCATAATGAGAATTCTTCAGTCCTTGGATTTGTGTATTCAAAAGGTTAACTTTTGGGCCTGCTTCAAAAGTAGTTGACAGTTTCTTACTTGGGTGCCAAGTTGGGTGGATTCTCTACCCCTTCTCCCCCTTTTAAAGGAAAATATAGTCGAGTGAAATGAATGTTCATACAACAAAATTAGTATTCATTGGGGTCTCAGAATGGTTGAACGTATGGGGTGATTGGGTTTGAGCTAGTGACGCATGATTGCAGTTAGAAACTAATTGTGTTGAAATTTTTCTGCAATGATTAGTTTTATTGAGTGAATTGCTTTATTTATCGATTCAATGTTGAGCTCGGGCAGACAGGCAGCATTGGCAATGCACTAAGCATGTTATGATCTGATGATCTGATAGAAATTCTCAACTTCAGGACAACATGGGGCTTTTTGGTTTTTGTGGGGTTTTTTGTTTTGTTTTTGGAAGGAAGATTCCCATTTGTTTTATTAAGTCATTAGGAAGTGTTTGGTGTTTTTTAGGTCTGGCTATAAATGTTTACCTTTGTTTGCCTGTATGAATGCCAACTTGTAGCCATTACCATTAGAACTGGTGTTATTTGCTAATGCGTGAGACATTGATGTTGGTCTGACCAAGTTTTAGGAATTTAAATTTTTTTGTAAGCTAACCTTTAAATAATGAAAGGTGTGTATATCTACATATAACTTACCTTGCCATTCCCAAATTGCATCTTTGTTTATTTTTAAATATTATGTAGCTTCTCTCTCTGAAGCATCCAGGTTCTTAATTGTTATTGTAAAACCTGGTGGTTTAATTGAAAAAAATTTTACTGGTCTTAATTTTTGGGGCATTTCTGTTAGTTTGACCCTGATCTTTGGCCATTTCCCAGCCCCCCCGTTCCCTATTTTCTTCCTGATAAAGACCCACTATCCTCATGTGATCTGTGTTCTGCATGTTGACACTGCAGTACATGGTTTTTGTCTTAAAATTAAATGATGACCTAGATAATAACTCTTTGCTCCCTGCCCCCCTTTTAAAAATAGCTTTGTTAATTACATAGTTGTGTTAGGATGTCCAGTTTGCCCCATGATGAAAACCTTTTTAGGCTCTTGTGTCCTCTTTAGAGATACTAAAAAATATTGTGGAGCTGCTTGCTGTTAATAGATTCAGAGAGTCCCTAGGGTAGAAGTGCAGTGTTTCACTTAACTAAGATTCAAATTCTAAATGTTGTTCTTGAACATTTTAGATTAGTGTTTTGTTTCTGTAGTTGGTTTTTAGTGTTTTCTTTCTGTATTGTAGTTTGAAAAACATGCCAGTTTTATGAGACTGGAGTCTTTGGTTAGTTTGTTCTAGTAGTTTTCTATTCGTGGGAACAAATGGGGGGCTTTTGAGGTTGATTTTTTTTTTTTAAGTCAAATTTCTTACTTGGAAAATTGTTCTGAATTTGATATTTAGGAGTGACCACTCCGATCTTAGTGAATTTATTCATCTCTTCCAGTAATCAGCCCTGCATGCTTATGAAAACCAATTTTGAGGTGACTAAATGCCTTCTACCTCTTCCTTACTGAAGATTTTTTTCCCCTGTACAATCTTTTTTGGGGGAAGGGCAGATTGTGGTACCAAATATTGCAGAGCCAAATTCCCCATTTTTGATGAAAATATTAAAGAGCCAAATGTCACCATTGCTATCCCTGATTCAGGCAGTGACACAATATAGTGGCATTAAAAACTTGAGTATTTTCCAGAATTCAAATGTTCTCGAGCATGTGATTCTTATTTGGAAAACTGAGAAGCTACAGTGCTTGGTGGAAGAAGGATGGCATTTGGCTACCCTGTTCTTTCTCTAATGCCTCGGTGTTGCCTGTCTGCGCCGGCCATTGTTGCAATGTAAGCAATACTGTTTGATGCACTGCCACCCTCTATTGTCTGTTTAGTGTTTAGAATCTCCAGTGGGGAAGAGGAAAAGAAGCATGACTGTTAGTACTTCTCAGGACCCATCTTTCTCAGGATTAAACCAGGTCTGAAACTGTCTCCTATTCCAACCTCAATCCCAAATTCATGTGCTTTTCTTTTTTATTGTTTTCTTTTGATTATTTTTGTTTTGTTTTAATTCTGGAGAATGTAGATCTTGCTCAAGCATCTCTTACGTTGGCATTATTCAGACATACTTGGCAAACATATAACATTACTAAGATGTTTTTTTGTGGCTTTTGCTTAAAGCTTGTAAAGTGTAGAGAAAACCTAAATGAAAACAGGATTATGTTTAGATCTGTAACATCACATGAGGAAATGATATGTTGGTCTAGTATTGAAATTCTTTATCTAATGGTAAACTTGAGCTAGACTTTAGTTTTTAAGAATGTATTTGGAGTTGCAGAACTTTTAATGCATGAAATATATCTAAATTCAGTTGCATCAGTGCTGTATGATGAATATATTCTGCCTCAATTCTCTTCCCCTTCCCTAGTGAACTTCAGGTAAGTGTAGACCAGATTTCAGATCTAGTGTGTCTAGAATTGATTTTACCTCAATATGTGAATTCTCCGACTTCAGCCAAACGGTATAAAATGCTCAAAGAGCATCATGTGCTCTGGAACTAGGAGACATTGCAGTCTAACAATGTAACAGTAACATAATTGAAGCACTTAGCAAACAATTACCATTAATAACATGCAAGATAAATTAATGCATAACCTGATGATTTAGTGTTTGGCAGGCTAAGTAATAAAAACCCCAGTACTTTTCTTAAAAAAAATTTTTTATGTAAGTGGAAGTCTCCACTTTTTTTCATAGAAGTTGGCCAACTTTGTTAAGCTCTTGAGCAAAGAAGTGAATGTTAATCATTCAATTTAGTATACACTGAGAAGGAAGTATTGGCAAGAGTAATCAAAAAAGAGAAGTTGAATTTGGTATAGTTTCAAAGTATGTTCCATACTTTGTACCACATGCATCATCTGAGTAATCATTTAATCCTTTTCTGTACTGCCCAGCATTATTCCAGGGATCATCTTCTGCTGTTACTGGTTTCTGAAACTCAAACTTATTTTTATTCACGGAGAAATAGTAATTGTTGTGACTAGATCTGAGGTGGGGAGAGAGAGAGGATGGTGGGTAATTAGGCACTTTGTAAAGCATCTAGTTCCCCATTTTTGCTTATCCATTCATTCACACAACTTCTATTTTGTAACATAATCATTTAGTAACTTCCATAAAATGACATTGAATCGATTATATTTTCTACATACAGATTAGCTGGGTTGTGAGGAAAAGTGATCCTGTGAATGTTTTGAAAGGGCAAGGAAATGTGACCCTCGTTAGGTGAAAAATTGCCAGATTAAGCTAAAAACTAAAATTATCGATAGTGTTTATAAAAACACCTCTGCTAAAATAAAATGCACCTCTGCTGAATGAAGTTATCCCACTATGCCCAACATTAATTCACTCCCACATGCCTTTGAAGAATAGACTGCATTCTTTAAAAAGGCACAAATTTTACTTAGAACACAGAATAAAAATTCACAGAAAAGCAGCTTGACCCACCAGAGAAATTAGACTTCTTTTGCATATGCAAATGTATAAAAATATATTATCTTATGACTTACTGAACATTGACTTTTCCTTGTTTGGTTCTCCCTTTACATATTTGCGGCTGTTTGGTTGTATCCTTGGAAACATGGTGTCATGTAAACACTTCCATTTTGTGTATATTCATTTTTAAATTCAAAGCAGAGAACTACTAAAGAAGCTTGATAGGTACCAGAAGATCATGAACTACCAAGAGATTAAAAAAATTTTTTTATGTTAAGTAGCTTTCTTTTTCAGTTATTTGTTCTTATTTTCACCTTTGCTTAGCAGTGAAATTATTTTTCCTGACTTACTTTCAGTTTTTATAAGAGGAGAAATTTTAAGTTGTTTTATTTCCTTTGTAGTTTTTTGTTTTGATATTAAAGATTGAAATATTTGAGAAGACAGTGTTTGTATTTATTTTTTGTTTTCTAAAACTACATTTCATCCTTTAGCATTGTGGAAACAAAGAACACTAGAGAACATTGAGCTTTCATGGAACAATCTTTTAAAAAGTTGTGAGAAAATGTCTGGTCATTGAGTTGCAAATGGAGCAACTGAATGTAGACTTGGACATGAAGGACACTATCAGATCTAATTTGTCAGTGTTATTCTTATTTTCTCCTCCATTTTGAAGTACTAAAAGAAGCAATCCCAGGAAATGTCCTTTAGAGGAGAGTCTTTGTCTTAATTGCCTTTTGTTTAAAACTCACGTAATTCTTACGGGCATTTAAAAAACTGTGGAGCTGGATGTCTTTTTGTGTTTGTTTTTGCCTTGTTTTCTTTTCAGTGTGAATCTGCAGAACTTAAGTCATGCTTTTTGGTTTGCTTAACAGAAATGTATTTTGCTTATTTTAATATTTGTGTACTGAACCCATTTTCATATCAAGAGAAAAGTAGGAGTGTGAGCTTTATTTCTCTTTGTGTGTTCTAAGACTTTCTCTTGGTCGTATAATAATGCAATTGCCGAGGAAGTGAATTTAATCTTACTAGATAGGTCTCATTATCCAGTTAAATTTTACTAAAAATTTGCTCTTCATTCTTTCATAGTAGACCAGGGGAAAATAGGTATGTCCTTGTTACCTTGGTGACAGTAAGCTCAAACCTCAATGTCTTTTCCCATCCAGTGTATAAAAAAGGCCTGCCTTTTTTTTTTTTTT